TCATCTTAGAAGGTAAAAAACCAACACCATACACCCATTATACGACAATGCACCTCTTCTCAATCCTTATATGATCAAATTGCTAAAACTATGAAAATAGATTAATGTGATTACCATCAAATTGCTAAAACTATGAAAACAAAAATAGATTGATGTCATTTGAAACAACCAAGACTCAACAATTTACAATTTGAAGGTTTAGCATGATGGATTTCGGGTTCTTCCATCAACGGATGAAACGAGTATTGTGCATTGTTTTCAAATTTCAAGAGAAAATGTGTGATAGGCTATCCGTTCTTTATAGTGGGATACTGTAGTGATATTTTGAAGGACAAAGAGGCGGGCACGTGCTGATTTCACATGCTTTCACATACCTACCAAACTCTTTAAACGTTCTGATATAGAAGCATTTAAAAAATTTAAAATATTTATCTGTTTCATCACTCTGTAGCAGATCTCCAATTTTTTCATCTGCAACCCTCGGTTCGGCTAGGTTGTCTGTGGTGCCCTCTCACCAGAGTGAGCTCCGCTCCCCGGCGACTTCAATCTGCTCCGGGGTGGCAGCGGTTTGTCTGGCGTCTCGCTAGCCTTTCCTCTAAAGTGGCGCATTTTTTTTTTGTACAAAAAAATAGGCTAAACGCCTCGTGATTTATTTTGCGCACGGCCCGTTGATAGGCCACGCCAATGAGATCATGTTGTAGCTTCCGTCGATCACCATTCGGTGGAGCATTAAAGAACGATATCCCAACAATCCTTCCGATGCGAAGGAAGTCAAAAAACGACTGAAAAATTCGCTTCACAGAATACATGTTTTACCCGGACCACCCGGCGTTTTGCCTATTATCAGGGTGATCATGGCGCTCTGCCTTGGTATATATAATTTAAAAAAATGATAATAAGATAATATCCAAGGTATATATAATTTACAAAATTAACAGTTAATTGTTTAGGCACTTTTTAAAATTGAATTCCAAAAATAAAATCATTTGTTGCATTTTCGTTGCCACAAAAACCCCGTAGATAAAAGTTTTGACTCGCCTCGCGTGAAAAACCTAGTTAAAAAATCCCAAAGTTTGAATTCTCACTCAAGTCACGCTAAACCTCCCACCTGAAACCGAGCTACTCAAAATGTCCGATGTACCCCCGCAAGCCATGACCGACGTCCCAACCCAGCTCCCGGAGCTACTCCGGCCGTGGTCTCTACCGTTTGACCTCGCGGAATGCGTCCTCATTCGCCTTCCGGTGAAGACCCTCAAGCGCTTCCGGGGCGTCGAGAAGTCCTGGCGTGCTCTGATCGACAGCGAGAAGTTCGCAAAAGCCCACCTGAAGCAGTCCCTGGCTTCCAACTCCAACAGGAATATCATCAGCGGCGTGTTCGGCTTCCAGTGGATGGGCCTGGACTCGCTCGACGGGGCACGGTCTATCGAGCTCGAGTGCGAGTACGACAAGAGAGGCGTGCACGCGGTTTCCAACTCCATCAACGGGTTGTTTGTGGTGACGAGGGAGCCGGAGCCTCCAATTCTGTGGAACCCTTTCGCGAGGGAGTACAAGGTATTGCCCAAATGTCCGGTTGATTTCTCGCTCGAATCGTCCTGCTATTGTGAAACCACGCACGGGTTCGGCTACGACTCCGAAAATGACGACTATAAGCTTGTGAAGGTTATGTGGTTTGGAAATCGCAATGTCTGGTTGCTGTCCGAGGAGTGGATTTACAGCCTTAAGTCGAATTCCTGGAGGAGGACCGTCGGCACTTTCTACAGGGGGCACTGGCCCACCCACTTTGAAGGCGTCCTCCATACTCTTGTTCGGACCGGTTGGGGTCCTGGTCTGTCTGATACTAAGATCATGGGTTTTAGCATTGTAAGCGAGACCGAACATGAGGTGGCGATGCCCAAGGCAGACGAGAAGGGTCTTGTTCATCTGAAGCTGGACTTGTTCGATGGACGTCTGCTTGCTCTGTTCTGTACTTATGCTTCTACTTATGCTTCTGATGCCGTGGTATGGGTGATGGAGGAGTACGGAGTTAAGGAGTCGTGGGTCCCGCTGATAACGATGCGGATCGAAAAAAATGGTTTCATTTGGCCGATTGCTTACACCAAGGATTTTGACAAGATTTTGGTCAACTGCAGTGGTAGAGCACTTGTTCTATTTGGTGTGAGGAGGCATAGTGTTCAGCAGATTGCATTGCCTTATGGAGTTTGGAATAAGCTTTGTGTTGAGACACTGATTTCGCCTCAGGGCTGGTACAAAAAGGATTCCAGGGAAGAAAGCTCGACTAAGGATCATATCGAGGATGGAGGAAATGAAAACAACGGCAAAGAGACGATGAAGAAGGACAATGGGTCGGAACTAAGATTTTTTCTAATCATTAGTTATTCTGGTTAATTTTTTTATATACTCGCTATGATCTATTCTGGTTAATTTTTTATACACTCGCTATAATCATTAGTTACATGTAGATTAATCACAATTGCTTTTGCATATCTTTTTTGCAGAGTTGATGTCTTGGTGTCGGGGTTCAAGATGTTGCTGTGAAATGAATACACATGGATGAGGTGCATATGTAGTTGTCTGCGCTTTTAATTTCTACTGTTGTTTCCAAGAAACTGATATCTAACAAAATCTTGTTCATGAAACTGAGAAACTTAGAATTGCTAGTTTGATGCTGATAATCTGTTTTGTGGTGTAAAAGGCTCCTAGTATAAGCATGTAATGGAATTAACCTGGTCCCTATGAATATAATGGTTTCTTGTACTGTGTTGCTTGTGTAGCCACTCGATTGTGCCAGTGTGTGAATATTTGGCTCTTTGTTAATCTAATGTTTGCTTAGGTGATAGATCATTGCACCGCGTGCCAACTCTTCTCTATTTCTTTCAATGCAGGAATTTTTCGTTAAATGTTACCAGTAGGTAGTGGCTAAAATACCCTCCCTTAATGTATTGAAGATATAAATGGTAGCGATGTAAGGGATAAATTTCTAAGGGTTGATTGGATGATTTTCAAATGACAATATGTGAGAGTTGAAATGAAGGGAGTTTGACCTTATTCAAGAAAAACTATTTAGATTAATCATGTAGATATGATTTGAGGGAGTCAGATTACGATGGAAATTACTACTGCTTCTTTGCTCCGCTGTTACTTACATTAAATGAAGTAATTCATGTCTATCTCATCACAGGTTCCTTTCTTTCTCTCTTTCTTTTTTATTTTCTCTCCTTTTCTTTTTGGTGTGTGACTCAATTTGTCAATCCATGTGAATACAAGATTGAAAGGAGAATACAAACTTAAAGACAAGTGCGTTTGTTATTCTTTATTCTTGATCAGTTCATCACTCATGCTTGTCTTGGCTCTTGAGAGGGCAGTGAGATGTGGGAATTTTTCTGGGTATTCATTTGGTTAGAGCATGGAATTTATTCACGTCTTATGATTGATGTTATCTTGCTCATTACACTTGAAAGAAATTGGTTCTTGCTTTTCTGTATCACAGTTTCCTTTTATTGTTTCAATTAGCCGATTCATGTGTTTACCTGATTGCTGGGAGAATTGAAACTTTAAGATGAATGTGTGCGCTACTTTTCTGATTCCTTCTTGATCAGTTTCATCACTCATGCTTATATTCTATTGAGCAGTATGTGAGATGCGAGAACTTTGGGAACTCATTTGTATGGAAGCAGGGAATTTATTTCACATCCTATGATATGCATTATCCTACGCTTTGCTTCACGTGAGTTCCTACTACAGAATATCTGAAACTACGTAATAAATTTAAGTTGTGCAATTTCGTAGAATTGTAGCGTGTGAACAAGTTTGCATTGCTTTGATTTCCTTTTGCACCATTTTTATCTCCATCAGTCAAAGAGATCACCATATTATTGCACAGGTCATGGTTTTGGAACTGAAAAGGTTGAATACACTGAACCACATTCTTTCAATTTTGAAGAAAATATATATTATGTTCTGCATTCTAATGCACTCTGCATATTATCTATAATTTCTTATTTCAAATATCTTTTCTTTCAAGTTAAGCCTACAACATGCATATTTCTGTGATTTATGAGAGCTCGTGACCCAACCTGTGTCATTTGAATAGGCATCATATGATTCCTGAGCAAGAGGATGCTCGGTTTCATTTATAATCTGTTCGTAATAGAATATATCTGTAGAAGTTTCTGCTGTTTTGGTGGAGTTGCAGTTTAAGTATATTGTGATGAAGCACTTCTCATATTGCTTCATTTTCTTTATGAAGAAATTAGTTTGTGATTTTTTCAAAACCGTTTTTCCTTTCAAACGAACATCCATGGATTATAGTAAACCCATCCCACTCTCTGGAAAATGAAACCGTTTTAACTTGCATACAGGAACAAGACAACCATGTTACTGTCGCATGAACAGTGTACTCTTTTTGCTAGCAAAAGATTCTGTGTTCCAAAATGTGTTCCATCATGTTTCATTCAATTGGATGAATGCCATGCGTGTAATATAATTTCTGTGCACCGTTGATTCCCGTAATTATAATTTTTTAGTTTGTTTGTAACTATTCTGTATGCTTTGTGCAACTGATAGAAGTAAAACAATACTGTGATCAAGTACCTGCACTAAGTGGAACGTAATGCACTTGATTTAGTGCCAATGCCATGTTCAAGACTAAGTTAACTCTTCCCACCTATCTGGTAAATGCAATATATATTCAACTGCTTCAAAACTGGAGTAGAAATCCAGATCCGTTTTCCTGATATGTACTCTGTTCCACACGATGCAGACGAACACGAATCTTTGCTAAATTAGAATAAAAAAAAAATTATAAATCAAATTTAATTACACGAATCAAGAAAAGTCACGGTCTTCCTAACTCCCCTAGAAGCCGTTCTGCCTGAATACACATCGACAATCAAAAAATCTCGACCCCTCTTTCCCTTTTTTTCTTTTCCTGACAAAATGGTCAAAGGAGGGACAACATTACAGTAAGAAGACATAAATATGAATGCTACCAGATTATTTGATCATTTTATACATGGTCTATTTTACGTCTTTGGGGACTCATAGCCAAAGAGGTCTGTTGGCCGAGTCTCGAGCACCGTGTGCAAGTGTTCAATGGTGATGACATGGGAGACGAACAGTCCTTCAAGTGATGAGCTGTTGAATGTAATGGCGAAGAGCATGTATGGAAAGCTCTTGATGGTGATGCAGCTGGGTTGGAGCTGGGGACTGTTTTCTTTGGTCTGGCTGGTGATCTTGGCGGCTCATATTTTGGCGTCTCTGGGTGAACGGTCTTTTTGGGAGCCCGTGATGGAGATGCCATGAAAGTCCGTGATGGTGATGCACTGAAAGCCCGTGATGGGGACGCCATGAAAGCACGCGATGGGGACGCAGCTGGGGAGAAGATGGGTTTGGTTTTCTTCGTCTTGGCTGGCTCGGATTTTGATAAGTCATTCTTTGGTTTTTCTGTGTAGAAAAAAATAAAGATTGATGAAGTAGATAATATCGCGTATAGATTACTGCTCATTCATCTAAAAATGCAAACCCAAAACAATAATCTAAGTGAAAATCCCTCTCCCTGCTTTTGGATTCAGGAACAAGAGTAAGAAGTATAATTAGACAGAAAAACAGAATAAGTGAAAAACTGACCATGAGTTTTCTTGATTTTTAGTTCCTTCAATTTCTTGAGAAGTGTAGGCTTCTTCGCCGACCTGTCACAATCTTCTTCCTTCTGGACATTATTTACCTCCGGCTCAGCTTTCTTCTCGGGGGCTTCGGCAGAAGGATCTGCCACAGTCTTCTGGTTAGACTCACCATTATCCTGCAGTATCTTTTTCTCAGGTATCTCAGGCAATTTCGTGTGGCTCGAGCCACTTGAAAGCAACTTAACGTCGGAGGACTCAGATGAACTCTGTTTCTGGTCGACAGCAATCGGTCTCAATGACTGCTTCACCTCCAGAATCTCACTCTTGTCCGATTTCTGCTCGTTCACATTTTTTGATGCCAATTTAAGTTGTTGCTCTTGAAGTAGCTGAGGACTGACCACTGGCCCATTCTCTGCTCCATTTGGCCGCAAACCCACTTTATCCGCTCCCTCCACTTTCACTTTCGCTCCGGTTAAGTTCTGGTCGGCTTTGTTCTCGACCACGTGGTGGACTATGATTGGCGCTTTTTGATCCCTCACTGGAGTCACACCTCCAACGGCCATCCTCTGGTCAGCCACGGCACTGAAGAACCTTTTCCCGGGGCTCTCAGACCCGAAAGACCGCTGGTCAAACTGGTGCATCTTGCGGTGCGGGATCTCAGATATGACCGACCGGAGGTCGACGGCTATGGCCGAGTTCTTGGTGTCGATAATCTCCGAGCAAACCGAGCGGCGGTCCCCCGCCTGCACCAGGAAGAGGTCGTCCATTGCCGCCATCTGCTCGTCATCGAAAAGTGAGGCCGGCCGGTGGAGGGTGCTCCCTTCAGCCGCTGGGTCCCACCTCCGGCCGCACACCTTCTCCTTCTCGAGGACAGCGTAAGTGAACATCTGGAAGGGAATCTGGGACACGGGCTGTGGCTCCGCCCCTTCGTTTGGGAACTTCTTTAGATAGGCGGCTTCCATGTCATAGTAGTCGACCAGCGGGGGCGGGGACTCGGGGTCCCCGTGGTTAGGGTTTATGGTGAGGTTCTTCTTTATGTAGCGTAGGATCCGACATATGGAGGAGAAGGTCGGGCGCGTGTCTGGGTTCGTCTGCCAGCACTTTCTCGTCAAGTTCTGGAGGTATTTGGGGGAAGGGTAAGAGAAGAGGGGCCGCTCCCCAGCCAGTATGTTCCGGACCATCTTCTCCCCTTGAAGGTGACTGTCCTCAAAAGGGACCTTCCCGGTCAGGAGCTCGAAGCAGAGCATGCCGAAGCTGTACACGTCGGATTTCTCGGTGTACTTTGGGGCCGACTTGGCCTTATTCAGTTGGTGGAGCTCGGCAAGCTGTTCTGGGGCTAGCCAGATGTTGAGGTCGACTCCTGTGGGTTGTTTGTTAGCAGTAGCAGTAGCGCCTTTGGACGACGATTGGGCCTTGAAGGAGGTCATTCCGAACCCCGTGACCTTGGCTTGGACCACCCCATTCTTTACTTTTAAAAGAATGTTGGACGGGTTCAGATCGCCAAGATAGATCTTTTTTGAGTGCAGATACTCCATTCCCCGTGCAATTTGCAGCATGATGTCGACCGCAGCCGGTATCGTGAAAGGGATCTTATTCCTCTGCCCACAACGCTCTTTTATGTAAGAACCGAGATCCTTGCTCATGAGCTCCATCACAAGAAACCCCTCTTTCCTATCCTCATCATAAAATGCACACAGATACTGCAACACATTCGGGTGGGAGAGCGAGAGCATGAGAGAGATGTCGGATTGTAGAGGACTAATGTCCCCGTAAAAAGTCCTCAACGCAAAATTCTCGCCCAACCAGTGAATCTCCTTGAGTTGGCCCCCGCCCGATGGGTACCCCGACCCGAGGCGCCGCCTCACGAAGTAATCGTATGCCCCAACCAATGCCCCGCTCGGTAGGAGCTTCCCTTCTGTCAACACCTCCCCTTCGTTCAACTTATTCGTCAGCAGCTCCACGAGCCTCTGCTCGTTCTTGCCTTTCCTTTTACTCTTCTCGGCGACTTTTTCCGTAAGCAACCACCGGTCCTCCTTCCAGGCAGTCTCCAGACGGGCGCAAATCTCCCTCGGGACCAAATACTGCCTCCCGAATTTCCACAGAAACAATTTGGGGTCGTCACACTCGGGGTCGTACTTGCGGAGGATGGCGGCCCGTCTCTTCTGCATGTCGTCCTGATCGACTCCCGAGATCTCGGCAGCCGTCTCGATGGCCTCGATCACGACGGGAAAGCAGCACAGCAAATTGTGGGCGTGCAGTTCAATGCAGTCCCGGTTCATGTGGAGGGTGATCGCTCGGGCCCACCAGTCCTTTGCGTCCATGCAGTGGCGTATGTAGAGTTCGGCCTCCTTGAAGATCCTGTGGAGCTCCTTCATCGGGTGCTCGAGGGCCTTCCACTTGGCGGTCCGGTCCTTGAGCCTCAGGTTGTGTTTGATTTCGTCCGAGATTGTGTCGAAAGCCAGGGACAGCATGTCGTAAAGGAGAGAGCATTGGCGCGGGTTGATCGGGATCTCGTGTTTTAATACCATGAGGGCCTTTAGGCCGCCCAAAACCTCCCCGACCTGCCTGAATTGCTCCATCCCGAGTTTTGACCCTGTTGATAAAATTTGATTGCTTTTTGAGATGATCAATTAACAAAAGATTGAATCTTGTGTCTACAAAATAGATTACCTGCTCAAAGAAATTCTTGAATGTTGAGAAGATTATGATGGGTCAGCCAGGCAGGAGGAATGAGGGAGACTGCTGAAAATTTCTAAAGGGTTCTTGATCAACTCTTGAAGAAATTACAGCAGAGAACCCAAAATTACAGCAAATCAAAAAGGATCAAACATGGATAAGACTTAACAATAAATGGACCCCTTGAAAAACAGACAACCTTTTTTAGCTGTTCGTAAAAAATCAAGAATCATAATGAGGAAAAATTGAGGAATATTATCCCCACAGATGATCAATTTTTAAACTGCTTTTTTTTTTTTTTTTTTTTCTAATTCTTGTGTATTGTTTTCTTTGATTTTTTTTTTTTTTCCTTCGTCACCTGAAGAGTTTTTTTTGGCTGGGAATGGAGACGAAGATTTTCGGGTGTTTTTGAGGTATTTTTTTTCTGTTGTTATTACAGTAAATATGTTCCCGCGATTGTCGTCGTTGCTCTTTCAGCTGCGGCTATTATTTTGCCTGATTTGTACGAGAAAGTAGGAATATCTTTTGCTTACTAATAAATAAATAATAATGTCTACTGTTGCAATTTGGACTGATAAGTTTTGCCTAATGGTCTTGTATTTGACCGGTTTTGTCCTTCCTTCTTCAAGTTTTCGATAATTTCTACACCTGCTACCAGACTTTCAAAATTCAAACTCTCCCGTTGATATTTTTTATTTATTTAATTAATATTATTATCATCGCCCCTTCTTTTCTTTCATTTTTTTTAATGGAATATTGTGGCAGCCAGCCATCCTTCTGAGCGTAGACATGGCCATGGGTCGGCCCGCATCCCCGTCCCGACCCGTTCCTGGCCCGCAATCACCCCGTAGGTTGCCAGTTTCGAGAACCGGCACCGTTGCTTTACGGGTCGTATCCGGTCTATTATTTTTCTTTTCTTTTTTTTTTTGTCCCGGCAGTCTAGAACCGGGCCTTCGGAACAAGACCGGTTCCACGGACCCGGCCCTTGGTTTTTGGTGGGCCGGTTAAGGGTCACCCATGGAAGGCCCACCGACCCGACCCGTTGACTGACCATGTCTATCTGAGCGTGAGCGTGAGCGTGAACTGCCCGCTAACCTAAAGTTTGAACTTGATTTTGTATTATAATATAGTTTCGTCTTTTCAATACGACTAGCGTACTTGAGTGACATTTTAATTTCATACAAATTAATTTAATATACATGAAAACACAAATAGTTTAGTTAGTAATGGTTGTTAAATGAGAAAATTTCATAAATTATCCATTAATTTGACATACTTGCACAAATGGTGCTTTATATTAGTCAATTATATCGTTACTTTAACCATGAATGGTGCAAAATGCTAGCATGACAGGATATATTGATGTCGTGGTAGGATAATGTTATTTCTAAGAATAGTTGAATTGTGAGAAATATTGCTTTAATGTGAATTTGTTTATATATTTATCTTTAAAATATGACTAGTATAGAGCCCGTGCGATGCACGGGGTACACAATTTTAAGGTCATTTATCCATTCTTATAATTATATAAATGAATAAAAAAAATGTACGGGATATATATAGTACGTGACCTATATAATAGGCCAAAATGTGAACACGGGTGATGCACGGGGTGCACAATTTTAAGGTCATTTATTAGTACAGAGTTTGTGCAATGCACGGGATGCATAATTTTCTAGTATGTGTAATAAAAATACATACCGTATGCATGAGACAGAAGCACTAAATGAGTCATTTCTACAGAACTTGCCCGTTAAGTAGCTCCTGAACACGGGTGCACAATTTGTAGTATGTACCATAAAATCAGAAAAGATTTTCATACAATTTGATAATAAATTAGATAATAAATAAAACCTTTTTATTTTAGTAAAGATTTTACGTACTTTGTTTTTTTTTACTTATCGGATGTTATGAAATTTTTTTGTTAAACCGATTTATGGAATATAATACAAATACAATTAGAGGATTGAACAAAATCAGAACAGATTTTCATACAATTAGATAATAAAAAGGAATTAGATAATGAAAAGAAGGAATTAGATAAGAAAAAGAAGGAATTATATAAGGAATTTTGAATCTGACTTTTTTTTGGATAGATAGACTTTACGTACAAATTTTGACTTCACTGATTTTATGGGATTTATTTTGACAAAATCGATGTTAATATGCAATAAGACAAATAAATAAAGTCTTTTTATTCTAGTAAAGATTTTACGTCTTTTTTTTTGGACTTGTCAGATGTTATGGGATTTTTTGTTTCTTAAACTGATTTTATCGGATATAAGACAAATAAATAAAATTCTGGATAGAAATAGTAATACATTAATTACGTTGACTTTTCAATGTACTAAATTTGGTAAATAGGATACCTTATATAATAAGTATAGATACAAATAAATAACATGCTAAAATTTTAAAGAATAATTAATGTATTTTAATTTATTATCTAACCATCAGTAATATCATTTAATGATGTGATCATTATCTCTTAAATGATAAATAAAATATTTATTTATTTATTTATTTTTATACTCAAATAAAAATTAAAAAATACTATCGACAAATATGAATTATAATATATATCAGTAAAATCATTGCAAAAGTTAATAAAATTATTTAAGGAAAAAATCTTTTTTATCATATTTGAATAGGAAATGTATATATGCAAGCAATTAATGCATATAGTAAAAAATTTCTAAATAAAGTATGCATTAAATGTGAGTTGACTTTTTTTGTTACTATTTTTGATAAATAGTATGACTTTTAATATAAGTATAGATTACAAATTTCAAGTTGATCAAACCGTGTTCATTCAATTGTCTTAGCAAGCTAAATTAATCGAAAACTTATTAGATATTAAGAAAGTGGAAGTAGAGTTGATGTAGGATATGTAAAATATGGTTTTGATGGTAGTCTTGATGAGTGGTGGAAAGATGTCAATAAATTTTTAGGTACGAAGAAGACAATTATGGATGAGACCTTTTTTCGTATTCTTTCAAGTATGACACATTATTGTATATTAAAGAGAAAATTTCACAAGGAATATCATTTTTTATTAGATAAATTAAACTCAATTGTAAGTATTAGCAAATATACAAAATCTGACGTAATTAATTGCAAGATTACCAAATTTATAAAAAAATAATTAATTTAAATATGCAATTAATATTTAGCGTACTTAAAGATAAACTTATCACATTCCAAACCAATACTCATATTCCACGAAACTTTCCCTCTCTCTTTTCTTATCTCTTCTTCTCTTTCTTCTCTCTCCCTCTCTCTGTATTTTTTTCTTGATCGGTCGAAGACGGCGACCCACGACTTAGATTAGGGGGGTCGGCGGAGCGATGGATTGGCATACCCGCCGGGAGTAAAGCGACCCATAAGTCCTGACTGGTTACCACCACACCGAGGAGGCGCGATGGCCCTCCAATGGCCGGAGATAGATGTTCGTCGGCGGAGGTAATTGGATGAGGAGATGCTGAGACAGTGAGGTCGGCGGAGCAAGCCCGCGAAGATTTTCATGGGCCGGCGGCTTGACGCGAGCATCGTTGGTGAAGGTGATGTTGGAGGGGCCGACGATCCTGGCTCTGACATCGCCAACGACTGTATCATCGGTGAAGAAGTTGCAAGATTCAAGTCAATCGTCGCTTCTGATCGCTGGCCGTCGGGTGGATTTCGTGGTTAGGTTTTAGTTGAGCGGGGGACTAGATCAGACGGTATATATGTTGTATAAACGTAGTATATTTATACTTTTTGTTGTTGTTTGCGTAGTTGCAGGTATATTATTGTATAGTTTTCGTGTATATATATATATATATATATATATATATACTCTTTATATTTTTCGTATGCACAATATTAGAGTGTGTATAGTTTGAATTTTCCATATGAAATATTTAAATTGAAAATCATAAGGATCAGCATGATCTTAGGTATATATACTATTTATATTATATATGTGTACTGTATATATGTTTTGTAATAGTGTATATTATGTATATTTTTTTCGATGGGCGTTTATAGGAGCAACATGACTGATTTTTTTGTGATCGTGTATGTTCTGTAAATTTCAGATCGTGCATTTTATGTATATAAGTACGTTTGAATTTAAAAAACTAATTCTTTCCATTTGATATGAACGACTTCATAGATAGTAGGAAATATAGATTTTCTTTTTTTTTTTTTTAGCTCAATAATCTAATAGCATGATTGCAGGGAATGTGTTACTTTAGTAACTGATGTTTTTTATTCATACATAGTAAATGCAATTTATTAGGTATACATGCAAATAAAATCGTTGTCCTTGTAAGAATGCAATACCTTTAATAGGCGTGTAAATTACCTTATATTAAAAGCATTGCTTAAATCTATATATATATAATTGCTAGCATATAGCATTTAATTTTACCTATTTAATAAACCTCTAACATTTTCCCTCCATTTTCGGTTACAAAAATTATCATTAATATTTTTTATTTCTCACATTAATACATCATAATGAGTATAATCATGTATTTTTCTATTATATTATATAATAGTTATTGCTAATACCAACTAATAATAAGTCACAATAAATATAAATTACATAATTAAGAACAATTGTTTTAAGTTATTTATTTTAACATCAATATTATCTTTTTCTTTTGTATCTCATGGAAAAATTTCTTTAAAAACAATTAGTAAATTATTTTAATAGCATACTCAGACAATTTTATAATCTTATAAACAATTGTTTTAATAATAATAGTAATAATAATAATAATAATAATAATAATAATAATTAAACAGTTAGTATCTAATGGTAATATACAATTTTTCATAATAATAAAATCGTTATTTTTTTTTCTAATGATCAAATTTTTGAAAATGTAATATGTTCATTATCTAAAATTTTAATATT